TTAGTTAATTCGGTTAAAAATGCCAAGATGAAACAAAATAAATCAACCATAATTGATGGATATATCAATTGCTCTTTCAGGGCGTCAGGTAAACTTTTTGTTAGACCTAAAGGGCAAACAGTTATTAACTTTAAATGTGTATTTATCGGTTAAAAATTAGCTTCAATAATTATCAAAACCTCTAAATTTTCAGTATAAATGCCAAAAATTAGAAACACATGTTTACATTTGAATTTGCGGTATATTTGGCCCAATGTCCACTTGAAATAAAGTATTGCCAATCCGTACGCGACAGTTATTGACAATTCCGATTGTAGATGAATCACCGCGAAACATCATCACTTTTACCGTCAAACAATACTAAATTTTTATTAAATAAATTACATATATTACATATTCATCAATATTAAGGGAGAATCACACAACGTTGAATATACACAATATAAGTCCCAGAGAGAAAAATGTGTCTAATTTTAGTAGTAAGTATTTAATCTTGAAATTCCCACTTTTAACAAAAAAAATGTAGTTGATATTTCTCTATAACTTAGAACTGATGAAGCAATAGGGTACATAATATTGCATAAAGTTATAAACTTTGGATATGAAACAAAATGAAAGTTTACATATGAAAAATATATTAATTAAAATAGCAATATAAATTATATAAATATTACTTCCCCATCAATCTTAACTGAAAAACGACCGGCATGAATATTTTCACCTGTAATCAATCAAATCAACTCGGACACATGATTTCACTTTAACTTATAGTTTATAAACATATTGAACTAGACCAACCGATATCGACATTTTCATACCAATAAATGCAAACCACATTTAGCATAAACCTGCAAAACCTTAGAAAAAACTGTACTGTACATATATTTGTATGAATATTTAATGTTTCTGATAATTAGAGTTACTTTTTAAATTGTTCAATAGAACAGACAGCCATAAAAAATTGCATCTGTGCGCATAGGTTTAATTATTAAGGCACTTAAGTTACATTTAGCGACATTGATATTTTTCATATGAAGAGACAAAATTAACAACTCTAATGCATAATGACAATTTCTCTGAATAAATTTATCAACCAACCTATAGATATATAGACCTAACAGGACCATGAAAGTAAAATTACATTCCTGGCGTGGGCCAAATTCCAATAACTATATTAAACTCTAATAATACAATATAAGTAATTTTCTTTTCGGGTGACTTGTTAATAAGACACTCAAGCCGCTTTAATTTGACGCTTATCAACATGTGTAGTAGATATTGCCCAAGAACTATGTTTTTAAATTCTCAAATTGAATTGTGCCCATAATAAAATTTAAAAAAAACAACCTAATACCAAAATATACTGAATAACTTCTAGTCAGCTTTCAAATCTCAGAACCTATGATATACATAAGCATGTAATAAATGTTGGTTCAAGCGACTGGCAATTAAGGCGAATGTGTTATAGCAGCTTGCTGTTCACTTGTAGTGTCTTTGTCACCACTTGTCTTGCTGCCACCAGTAATAGCAACTGAAAATAATATCATTATACCAGTAAATTTTATATTGTAACATTGGTTTATAACTCTATGATAGTTTAACAAGTAAGAACTTGACGCTTCTTCAAAACTCTTTCTGATGTTGGATTTCACTTTTACTAATTCCACACATTGGGATACAAGTAGCGATGGGAACTATCGAACTATTCGATAGCAATGTTTTATTCACCGATGGAAATTTTCGAAAATAGAAAACTATCGAATTATTCGATAGTTGTAATTCATTAGTAATAAGTTAAGTTGAAATGTAATTCATTTAAGTTGTTCGATAGCAGTGTTTTATTCATGTGTTTACTAATTATCGGATAGTTCCCAGAGAATAATTGCTAAAAAAATATTAGTAAACAATTCATCCATATCACATCCAGTTAACGCAGGAACTTAACAACCAGGACTATGTAACTAGAGTTAGATTTTGTGAATAGGCCAGACGCAAAATTGAAGAAGACAGATATTTTTTTAATTGTGTATTATTTACTGATGAAGCAACTTTTCATAAAAATGGAAAGGTTATAGACAGAATTTCCATTATTATGCAAGTACCAAGCCTTATTTTATAAGAACAAATAGTCATACTCGTTGGTCATTAATACTTGGAGTGGCATTATCGGAAATTATGTAATTGGGCCTTACTTTTCTGATGGAAGAGGAAGGAACTCTTTGAAATTTTTAAGTAAAATAAATTATAATTTGAAAACGGATGATTTTACAGCTTAAAATGCAAATGCAAATTTGTAAATTGTCTATCTAATGATGTATTAATATACAGGTACTTCCGTTTCAAAAACAAAAGTTATGTTGCGCTAAAAAGTTATAGATTTAAGTCCACATTGTTAACACCCTGTGCAATATTGTACATTGTATTAATATTTTGGTTCAATAGAATTCTTAACTGATGTGGTTATTCGAAAGACGTATTTTTTGTATCTTTAACTGCTTTATTTTGCTTCTACAATGAATTTTTAGATATCATGTTTTTCAGCAACATTTCACTAAAATTGCGATAAGCTGCCAACGTCACAAGTAAGAAAAAATAATTTACGGTGCATATGCAGCGTTTCAAGCTGCACTCCATGAGCTAATAAAAAATGGGTAGTTATTTAAAAAAATACATTTTTGTCTTGCTTAGCTTTTCTGAGACACTCTGTATCATATAAAATATTTTCAAAATGTGCGCACTTTTTGTGTCAACAACTTTTATATCAAACTATTTTTCGAAAGCTGAACACCAACGGAAATAATTGACTCTCTCGCACTAAAAAAACACCCTGTATACCGCCGCTTGTAACCATGTATGTGCAGAGATATACCTATGTAATAATCCGTTTAGATAAAAATGAAAACGATAATAAGAAAAGCAAATAATACAAACATTATTTACGAGTCTAATTAATTGCATTGTAAATCTTTTCTAGATATGTACAAAATATTTATTTATCGCCCGACTTTGATAAATCTTTTTTTGGATTGTAGACCGAAGACGACTATACTCTAGGACAAAACGTGACAATTTGGTTAAACAACTCACATATTAAATATTTTTTAGGGAAGAATGAAAAAACATTCATTTACAACAATCAGAATAGATTAACTATGTTAATCGCCCTCTCAACATCACATAATAATAATTCTTCAGCACAATTAAATATTACATTATTGTTATAGATGTATGAATTAAAAGCTAGAAGAAAATCTTGAAAATGAGTGAAAATTACTAAATTATTAGTTATATCACTTCTATTTCATTAGGCTAAAATATTGCAAAGAACACATGAGTAAAGCAACCACAAACAGACAAAAAAGTATAATAAATGAATTGAACATAAATGGAGAGTTTCATCAATCAGAATTTGATGGCCATGCTGGGCTTCATTTTGCGTAAATATTATTATAAATAAACATCATATTTAAGGTTTTTCCTACTGCCCGTTTCATGAACTAAAATAAATCCATACCAAGAATGTTATATTAGTCTGTAACAGAAGTAAATATCAACACGTAAAATATTATTTCCTTTTGTACATGTTTCCTTTAAATTTCGTCCCTAAAAACTAACAACAAAGTCCTGGTTTTTGCAGCAAAATGTGATATGTTCCAAAAAAAGATCAACATTAGAACAAAAAATTTTAAAAGTGTTCACACTGTATATCACAATGTATGCATTAGCAGATCCACAAAAAATATTTAGATAAGATCAATTGGAACGTCAAATTGCTATACAATGGAACCTTATAAGCATAAGGCAGACTTATTATTTTTTGATAATGCCTAATATTAGATAAGATAATCAGACAATGCATAAACAGCTACTTAATACTTACAAATAATGATGATTAACAAAATGACCCCAATAATTCCAATAATAATCATCATTTTAATATTTTTCCACCAATATTTTCTCTTCAATTTTTGGGCTTGTTGCTCGAACCGTTTGCCACCTTCTTGTAGAGCATCGGCCCTGGAATCTAATTCGGATAGTTTCTGGTCCCTTTCCAGCACCTTTTCCACATTGACCCTCATGATCCCCACAACTTCATTAACCTGTTGCTGGGTTTGCTCCAGTTTGGATGTAGGCCTAGAGCCTGATGGATTCTCCATTTTGCCCTGGAATCAACACCATTACCAGGCAAGGAAATTGTAAATTGTAATGTATGCAAACAAATTAGTCATTACAAAGACTTATTGTTCTATGATGTCAACAGATGGTAAATTTGGATCGATTTGGGATTTGGAGACTGTACACTCACCTCAAACAAAATGAGACTGAACACAAATTAAGGCTAAACGCAAAGAAATTCTAGAAAATAAAGAAAAATAAAAAAGATGTGACGTTTAAGCCTCAACAAATCATCAGACTTTTAATGATGATGGGTAATGACTGATGACAAGCGATTGAAATCACATGTTCCGGGCAGCGTTGCCAATAATGACGGCAGGTCACTGAAATTGGCCCAAAAAATATGTTAAAACTTACGACAGAAATTTACTAAACGTGGAGCTTTTGTTAAACAAACAATTCTATTTATTAGAATAACTTAATTGTTTGATTGATAATCAAAGTCAGAAATTAGTTTTACTTTCAAAGCTGACGCCATCGCAAACTGTGCTGCCCTTCAGATCTGCATTTTCAATCAATTAATTATATAAAACATTCAAATCAACTGCTTTTTAATCTGTTCTTACTCTACGGAAAATGCATTGTATAATATTTGTTCCCTTTGTTGTTCATTTATTTTTGTATTCTCAGTTGCCTGCAGCAGTCCACACAAATGCTTCTGATCCGAATTCATCCTGCTGCCCTCTGTTCGCTTTATCCTCAAGCAGTCTAAAATGTAAATGACACGTTTTGTGTCTCTCTCGATACTTTCTTTATCAATGCCTGATCTGTGCTTAAAAGAGAGACGGCAAGCTTGGGGAAATATTTCCGAGGGCAAGCAAAATAAAATGAAATAGTTGAACGACCAATGTTTTAGTGGGTGCGCGTATGTGAGTATTGGACTGTCAAAATAGACCGAAAAAGGCGATTTTTTCGAGTTTTCCACATTTGGGATTGGTTTGTTTATTTGTGAAAGATCATGTACAGTGCAGTGAAGTGTTTTTAAGTGGCCCCAGGATTTTAATATCAGTAGTAATTCAGGAATTTGCTAATTTGAGGTGTGTATTAAATATTATTGATATTCTATTAAGTAATGCCAAACAATAACATTACTTTCATACAGGTTTGGCTTATTTAGGCCCACCTCTAGCATATAAGACTAATACACTGTACACATATTATTTGTCTGCTTGTATTTCATCTATGAGCACATATTGATTATTCAAGTGTTTACTCAAAATCTTAAACTGAATATTTTTCTCAGACTCCTCTGATCTCCTTATAGGTACTTTTACTTTACATACACTTAATTGAGGGAGGTAAAAATTGTAATTTTGTATGGAAGAAAGAAAATTTATTAGTGTTTCGTATAGATCCATCTAAACAGTACTCCTGCTCATTTTGGTGTCAATTTTCAGAGCAAATTTCGTGTAGTGAGGTCCTCTTTCGGATCTACTATGTTTTGTTTCAAACAAATCATTGTAGATTTTGTAGATCAGCTGCACAAGTTTCTCGACTGTCAATATCTTCCTAATTCATGATCAAAAGTCTTTTATATCTGGTTAGTAACATGCTTAACAATACCTATTACTTATGAAAATAGGTATACAGATATTTACGTTTGCTCCATGCCAGTCTAACTCACCATAAGAGTAGCAAGTAGGTATCGACCTATTCTAATATCCTATTATCGGCCTATTTAAATCTATTAAAACAAACGTGATTTGCAATTTCCAAGGGGAAATCAAATTCTTTTATGTCTTAAGTACTTAGATCATGTTCATAATGCAGATGCGATTGCACCGAAAAGATGACATTGTCTGCAAGAAACAACAAACGCTGATCATCTTATCCTTTAAACACACCCAATTAGCAATTATTTTGCAATCTCCGAATGCTTTTTTTGCTGCGATTATCAGAACAATCGATTTCCTCAACGAATCCACTGAACTGAATAAATGACTTCCTTAATATTGCACATTTTTTCTCAAAAGTATTATCAGATATTCTTAGAAATGTTGACTTTCTATTTTCTTGGTACTTAAATTTTGGGATGTAATCCTACCAAGTGTACCTACTTTATTATTATTACTGAAGATATTTGCATACAGGAAACACTCTTTAATCATGTACAACCCGAGATTTAAGCGGAATCAATCAGCCACCATTTGTAATCTTCTAAACTTGCCTTACATAATTCATTTAGCATTTTACGGTGACATATAATGCAAGACAGTTCAGAAGAGTAAGTAAATATTATAATAATACATATATGGCAGAGTGGCTCATCGGAAACAAAATAGAGACATTAAGTAAAGGAAATTAAAAAAATATAATTACAGCATGGTCCTCAACTAATGCGACAAAAGTCACTGACTTCTTCGCAGACTCAGTGAGTGGCTTAGACAAAAAATTGCCTTTTAGGTATTTTTTTTATAGGAAAGTTAATGGATTTTGAGGTCCAAGGTGTCAAAGTGTAGGTCAACAAAAATGAAAATTTTCTTTTATTTTAATACTCTTAACCAGTTTCATTATTAAGTACCAAAACAAATTGTAGGTATTTGTGGTTTTTTAGATCGACAAATGCAAATTGCTTATCCCCCTGCTTGTAGTGGTCTGGAGCCATTTAGAACATCAGAACTTTTTTTGGTTTTAAAATATCGCTTTCTTGTTTGCCTTATTCTCCGCTATTTCCTAAGCAAAAAATGTGTGCTTCTCCTAATTCGATATCTCACCGTTTTCGAGTTATTTCATATTAAAACCTCTACTGAATTTTTGAACTAGAACTAGATAAGTAACTCAATACTATTATTGAGTTTCCTATGAATGGGCGTGTACACGCTGGATGAAATAAATGAATCAGTTTGTTTGTTTGTAATTTTAGGTCTTTTTTTCAAGCCTTCAAAAGAAAATTTGGCCAAAGGAAATTTGACCAAATTTGGCCAAATTTTCTTTTGAATGAATATAAATCAATGAATACGGCTAATGATTGGTGCAAACTAAAATAGTTCCCTGAAAATATCAATATAATCCACATTCATGGGAAGCTGTGAGTGCAAGCTGTAAATACAACCCATCAACGAATGCGAGAATCTTATTTGCATTACCTACCTAGTTCTTTCGTCAGGTCACAAGAAGCAAATTTGCTCTTTAAAATCACGGTTTAAATCACTGTTTATTTTTAGGTTAGTCACAGTTTGTACTTAATTCTAATTTGTTCATCGCTGTGAAAAAATCAGAGGCAGTGGATTTGTTGTTCAACTCTACTCTCGACAACCTATTTTAATCAGTTCATACATAATTACATATAAAATATTGCATTTCGGATAGAAACGGATCAGTAATATAAGTGGTACTTACTTACGAAACTTAGTTACATCAACTTTTCCAAAGAAATGAATACATTTTATTTCACAAATAAGTACAAGTTACCTATAGTGTTACAAATGTGAGTTGTTAGCATTGTTGCTAATTTTGATGCAACACAAAATGGAGTGGTTTTAAAAGATAATAAATTCCTAATAAGTATCAAAGACTTACCTAAAAACCTTACTTATATAAAAATCGAAATGTCTACAAATTATTTAAATTTTTCTCTGAGCTTATTTGGAGATAATTCAAAATAAAATATTTTAAGATAACTGTCACATTATTAGAATCCTTTTAGATACTCTTTACAACATTATACTGTCAGATCTGGAATTCAATGTTCGGTTGTCGGGCCTCTATCATCAACTTCATTTTTTTTACATACGGACCTGTACGTTTAAACCAGTTTGTAAATTCTACGGACGACAGTAAAGGGATTATACATTTTTCCCCAAATATTACCCGTTTTTTCACAATATCATATTTATCACTTATTATTATGAACTGAAACTTGACTGCTCTTAACTGAAACTAAGTGCGATCCGAATTTAAAAGATTTATATTTAACGAAATTTTTAAAGTACGACCTAATAGAATTTGATAACTCATGTATATTTTGTAATTAGGCCTGAAGTAAGTAAGTAATCAAATATTTATTTTTGTACCAAATGAAATAATGACAAATTTAAAATTTTTCTTTTTCTTTGCTTGGGTGCAATACAAAATGCAGTCTCCAAGAATGTAGTAATGGAGAATACGGGTCAGTTAGGAATCATTGGGTCATTGTATTCAAGTGCGTTTTTGTCCTTTTTGTCCAAAAAAATCTAGCGAATTGCACAAAACCAAAACATTTTTCAATATTTTATGATTATTTTAAGTTTACTACTTACTTAATTACATAAATCGATACAAATAAAATAGTTATTGATCAATTTTATTAAGTTAATATAAGTCATATACGAATAACAAAATGATCAATGTGATATTGTAAAGAACGGGTAAAAAACGAAAACAAAAACAATTAATTACAGTACCATTACTTACTAGAATTTGTAGAATTCGTAAACCGATGTCAAATATACTAACAGGTCCTTATTTAAAAATGTTGATAAAGGTGAAACACGAAAGATTAATTCCAGATCTGATAGTAAGTCTTATATTATAATGTTGTAGAAAGTAATAAGGTGGCCAAGGTTTCAAACCAACAATGTGGCAATTATTCAAATATACCTCTTCAGATAAGCTCAGAAAAAAACAAAAATCATTGGAGCATTTTTCTGGTTTTTCAGATATTTCTGAATGTTTTTAGCCGGCATTTTCCGACTTTAGAACAATTTTGTTTAGCATCTAAATGTGCAAGTTTGTCCTAATTTAACCGACTTTTGTAAAATCCTCTATAAACGACAGCCTAAAACTGTTACATACGGATTATCAGGTGTTGTAGTTTAATTAAAAAGTGAAGATTAATTATTTTTTTAATAGCTATGAACACGCATATTTTACAATGAAAAAACGATGGTGCCTACCAACATGCTACCGCTTTTTTTAGTAAGCAACAATGGCACGATGTTGGTTGGTACAAATATTACAATCATTTAAAAAACGTTATTTTTGTACTTCATCGTCTTTTCCATTTTTTCGTTACGAGAAGCACTTTGAACTCTGAATTTAACTAAGACTACTTCCAAATTGAACCACATTAAATCAGAAACACCGTTTGTATTGAAGTGGATTGAGAAAGAAAAAACTGTGGGTAGTGGCTTGGTGAAGGTGATTTATTTTGCATTTACTGCCCTCCGGCTGTATGGAGAACGGGGTTTATTTTGTCAACACATGTGATCATTTTTTGATCTATTCAATTGTTTATTTATACTCTTAATCGGATAATTTTTCGGAGTAATCCAATCTACTTAGTTTGAACTAAAAAATGTACCTTTATATTAGTATTATTAGTGTGTCGAGACAGCCAGACGATGACGGAAAGAAGATTGAACGGAGCAGCAAATACGAAGAAATACGACACATGACAACCAGCTGATTATTGCTTTATTCTTTTGTTTAGTGCAAATAAACTAATTTTAGTAACTTCACAGCATTGTTTTATTTTCCCTTCATTAGTTTTTATTACAGGCTTTTCTAAGCACCAGCATTCCCCATTTAGATACTAGCTTTTTGTGTCTTGTAGTGAACTTCCTTTCTTATCTACTTACTATGTTTTGTATGAATTAAGTCATTGTTTTCAAGAGCCGCAAAAGTTTTCAAATTGGTTAAATCTTCCCAATTCTTGATGAAAACTTTTCTAACTGAACAGTGAATATACTTAGTAACATAATTAAAAACATTGCTTAAAAAACAACGTAGACTTTTATATAGAAAAATTGTGGATTTTTCTGCCGCTTTCTCAGTTTGTGTTGATGAATTATCCATAACACCTCAATATTCATCTTTTACCAATTAGCATCACGGTCACCAACAAACTACAACACAGATCTTTACCTTTTCTCGATATCATTCTGATTGACCATAAGAATCCCATGTAGGTATCGACCAGCCTATTAAGTATCGAGTAAAACGTTGCTTGCAAATAGCTAGGTGGAAATGCATTGCATCATAATATGGATGAGATTGTGTTGAACATATAGTCTGCAAGAAGCAAGAAACGCTGATCATCTTGTGCTTTGAACACACC